ATTAAGTTAAATCGAAGTGAAACCGATTTTTTTTTTAATTACACCAAAAACATTCCAATTCTTGACTTCATTTATACTATAAAAGAAACAACTCAAAAGCTACCAGAAGAACAACAGGAATACATTAAATTTTTGAAAAACGTTTTAAAATCAAAGAAACATAAGCTTAAGGAACGACAAACATTAAAATATTTACAAAAATATTAATATGAATTATAATATTGGTGATCAAAAAGTGAATACAAAAAGTTAATGAACTGTCAAATAATGGAAATTATTCGCAATTAATCAAAAATCCAGCAGAACGTTTTGAAAGACAAATTTATAACAATCTGATCGATAGGTCGAAATTAACACCACACTGGGCTCTAAAAATTAAAAAATATTTTTCTCTTTACGGACAATTCTAGTAGCAATTCTTTACCAACACTTTATTTACCTAAATATCTTATAAATATTTTGAATCTCGAAATAAGAAACACATTATTAAAAATCATCACATTTATTAGAAAAATCCTCAATAATAGATATAAATTCAAACCATAATCTGATAAGTTTTGGTTTTTCTCATTTAAATCAATAATTTGGTTTAAATAGAGGGTGTATTTTCTTTTTATATAGGGAATGAAAACTTGATGAAACTTTATCAAATTTTAAAAGTAAAGAACCAACAATCAAATTCACTATTGAGAAAGAATCAGATAAATTTTCTCGCTTTGCTAATTAAGAAAAATTTAGAGAATTGCGCAACTTTGGTATATAAAACCTACTCGTACAAATCGATTTTTAAATTTGAACTGAAACCAACCAATAATGGAAAAAAGACAAAGTAGAAAGTTTAAATGATGCCGTATCTAATGTACAAATCGTGTTTAAACTGGAATGAGAAAAACATCAAGTTTCTGCCTAACGCGGCTTCTTCGGGGTAAATTAAAATAATTAAAATAAACGCGGTTGCAGAATGTAAGACTACGTTTTGAGAATTTCTCAAAATTCTCTCAGCAAACTTAGACATTGAAAATTTGCAGGAAGAAACAAACCATGTTTACACTATGTTCACACAAAAATTCAAGGCTCCATCTATCGCTGTTTCTCAAAGGCGAATTAAAGGAAACAGGCTTGCATAATATAACTGCAAAATTTTAAAATTGTTCAAAATGTTCTCAAAGTGTTCACGACTTCCGAAATTTCAGAAATACACAAACCGTGCTTTGCAACTCGAATGAGAAGTTTCTTCCTAATGCGGCTTCTTCGAGGCGAATTCAAATAAACGCGGTTGCAGAATGCAACACTAAGTTTTGAAAATTTCTCAAAATTCTTCGAACTGATTTAGAAATTCCAAATTTGCAGGAATGAATAAACCATATCTAAATAATGCTCAGACAAAAACTCAACGCTCTATCTAACACAGTTTTTCAAGGGCCCATTGAGAGAAACGGGGTTGCAGAATATAACGGCAAAATTAGAAACATTCTCAACATTTTTTCAAAGTATTTACGGTTTTCGAAATTGCAGTAACACACAAACCGTGTTTAAACTCGAATGAGAAAAAAACGAAGTTTCTGCCTAATGATGCTTCTTCGGGGCGAATTTAGATAAACGCAGTTGCAGAATGTAACACTAAGTTTCGAAAATTTCTCAAAATTCTCTGAACCAATTCAGAAATTTAAAATTTCCAGGAATGAACGAACCATATCTAAATAATGCTCAGACAAAAACTCAACGCTCTATCTAACACAGTTTTTCAAGGGCCCATTGAGAGAAACGGGGTTGCAGAATATAACGGCAAAATTAGAAACATTCTCAACATTTTTTCAAAGTATTTACGGTTTTCGAAATTGCAGTAACACACAAACCGTGTTTAAACTCGAATGAGAAAAAAACGAAGTTTCTGCCTAATGATGCTTCTTCGGGGCGAATTTAGATAAACGCAGTTGCAGAATGTAACACTAAGTTTCGAAAATTTCTCAAAATTCTCTGAACCAATTCAGAAATTTAAAATTTCCAGGAATGAACGAACCATATCTAAATAATGCTCAGACAAAAACTCAACGCTCTATCTAACACAGTTTTTCAAGGGCCCATTGAGAGAAACGGGGTTGCAGAATATAATAGCAAAGTTATAAATTCTCTCAACATTTTTTCAAAGAGTTCACGGTTTTCGAAATTGCAGTAACACACAAACCGTGTTTAAATTCGAATGAGAAAAAAATGAAGTTTCTGCCTAATGATGCTTCTTCGGGGCGAATTTAGATAAACGCAGTTGCAGAATGCAACACTAAGTTTTGAAATCTTCTCAAAAATCTCTGAACCAATTTAGAGATGGAAAATTTGCAGGAATTAACAAATCAGAGCAAAAATAATTTGTAATTAATTAATAGTAATAGAAAAAGACAATTCATAAAAGGGGTTTTCAATTTCAATAATTATCCAAAAACAAAACAAACATATTACATTTTTTTCATTTATCCTGAACTTTTCAGATAAAAGTAACTAGTAAATAATAAAATCAATATTAGAAGTATCTGCAAAAATAAAATTAAATATTAGAAGCAAAATTTCTAAAACAGAACCTCATGACAAAATTGGAAGGACAAAAAACGTAATTTACAAAATTCTTCTGACGGAAATCAGTTTTGGAACTTTCTCGTTTGCATTATTCAAATTCAAACTAGGTTGCTATTAAAATATTGTTTTTTTTTGTTGCACGAGTGCCAAAATTATTGTCGAATCGTCAAGCCATCATTTTTTTGTCATTTTGATTTCGCTTTAAGTTCTGATAAAATCGGGGTTTTCTAAATGAAAATACCTTATCAATTTATAGCATGTGATAAAAAATCCATTTTCCATTCCAGAAATATTTAAAGTAAAAATAATACGAACACTGAAAGATGTAATAAGATTAGATTCATCCTGGGGCACCGTATGTGCAATTTAGGAGATGAGCCTTGACACAGATATGACGAATTTGGTAAATCGGCTTTTCTAGGTCTTCCACGAACAAATAAATCAGAATTTCGGCAATAAATTACAGTTTTACCTTAACTTGCAAAATAAATTAATAAATTTGTGTGCGCTTCATATTAGAATGTGTTCTATGATGATTGACGTCAACCTAAGTGAATTCGACATTTGTACAATTCATTAAAGTTTGGTGAATAAACTATTGGACATAAAATGATATTTCTGTAAACCGTTTCGTCAAACCAGACCCATATTGGCATTGCATGAACATTCAATGTACTTATTTAAATAGTCGATTAACGTTCATACTAATTGTGCAATTTTTCAGTAATAGCCGTGGGTACTTTGTATGCCTATTTAGCTAATAATGCGAATCAATTTAATGGTTTTCCCGTCAAATCAAGCGTTAATTGTTATTGAAAAAAATTGAACTAATAAATACGGGATTATTATTCTAGTAACATATTCTGGGAAGCTATAAGGATCTGGTTCACCTTCAGATTGATGAAGATTATTGACAATGTATCTGAGAAATATTTATTTCTCATCGCTAACCCTCCAAACCAGAACCAAAGAAGATTTACCTGAATTCGAAATCGGGCAAGAATTTTAATGGATCCATGAAACAGACAAGATTTATGGTGGTCTATGGTTTCAAACCACACATTTTCCGACAAGGGCGGACAAGCTTAAATCTATGGCATATCTAAACCTATTGTGTAGTTTCCGGTTAACTTTCATTAATCCTAAAAAAATCGGTTCTACATGCGAATTAATCCGGGGTTCTTCAGGGGCACAAAATTTCACTTAACAAGACTTCATACAGCAAAGTATGAGAAAACGAAGACGCGCGTTAAAACGATTTTTATTTTTTTACTCGCAAGTTGCACGAAGAAAATTGAAAAGGGCTTTTTTGTTCCGAATTGAACAAGCAAGGAAAAGATAAAATTAGTTTTTTGATAAATCGGTGGTGCACCATTTCTTCTTCAAAAATGTTAAATGCCATGTCGCATGTCGGTACGTGCGTCGCTGGAGGACCAAAAAACTTTTATTGAACAGAAACAGTGCTAATCGATAGCGTTGATTGAAAGAGTATATATACTTTTTCAATCAACGTCGATAGCTATTGGCATGCACAATTTAATTTAAATATTTCAAGCAGTTTCGAATATCGGATGTTTTTTAATAAAACTTTAACACCCAGTATTTTCCTAACGATACTCCTAAGGGATTTATGTAGTACAATTTTTAACGACTTGTTAAGAGATTATTATGCACTAAATCACATAGGCGTAAAATGGTAAATCTCGCAAAGCATAGACAATAGGCTGGCATACGTAGAATAAGGTTTAGAGCAGTGAAAAAGTCCATCGTTACATAGGGGAGAAAGTCCAAAGAAATAGATCAGGGGCGGATCCAGCTTTAAATTCAAA